TAGTGCACAGAAAAATACTGTCAGATCTGGATTGAGTGAAGTAGTTCAAAGGAAAGAAGTTCAAAAATACTAATGATTGTTTTTAATGAATTATGATTTCAGGTTTAAAGCAGTGTGGTTGTGGTTGCTATCAAAGAATAATGCTAGCATCTAATATAGCTCAAGAAATAAGAGATGGTTTATACAATGATTTAGGTATAACATGTTGTGCTGGCATCTCATATAATAAACTATTGGCTAAACTAGCTGGAGAGAAACATAAACCTAATAAACAGACCACACTGTTACCTGAATTTACTCTACAATTACTACATTCCCTACCTAGTACTAGAAATATACCAGGTAGGGTACTGCTTTAATTAATTCATTTATTTAGTCTGAAAAATCAATGAAATGAATGGAGTTTTTACTTTTCAACGTGTGGGCTAATGAATACGGGCAACGCCATGCAGGGTGCAATGAGGTAGAGGCATTAGTTATTTTCAAACTGTTGACGGATCTTTAACCTACACAGCCTGTAGCCTAGGTGCTTAGATCTATTATCGAGACGACTAGACATTTTTTCAGCCCCTCTTACCCACATCACTGACAGGTTGAAAAATCAGGTATTATTCTTCTCAGGTTGAACAAAATGTGCCGGAGCAATTTATATGATTTGCAAAATTTTTTTATTCAAAATGCTGTTCAATAATATTTTCAACAAGTTAAATCATAGATAACGTGTTATTTTCTACAGACATATTGCCAATATGTTGTTTTGGATTCTGGTTTTATTTTGCAGTTCAGATCGTTAGTGCATGATTCATTTATTATACTTGGTATAGAACCACTGTTGTTTTTTTTGGAAAGACAGTGGCATGATATGTACCCCATGTTTCTTTAAAAAACGGACATTAAAAAGTAATGGATGCAAATGGACTTGGTGTTTTTTATACCATAGTATTTCAATGATACATAGTGTTTCTCTATAATATATTTTTTAATTAATATAGAAAAATTCATATTTCAGGTATAGGATATGGTATGACTAAAAGATTAAGAGTATTAGATATAGACAGTGTTTTAGATCTTTATAATTATAGTCAAGATAAATTAATTATATTTCAGGTATAGGATATGGTATGAGTAAAAGATTAAGAGTATTAGATATAGGCAGTGTTTTAGATCTTTATAATTATAGTCAAGATAAATTAATTATATTTCAGGTATAGGATATGGTATGAGTAAAAGATTAAGAATATTAGATATAGACAGTGTTTTAGATCTCTATAATTATAGTCAAGATAAATTAATTATATTTCAGGTATAGGATATGGTATGAGTAAAAGATTAAGAATATTAGATATAGACAGTGTTTTAGATCTTTATAATTATAATCAAGATAAATTAATTATATTTCAGGTATAGGATATGGTATGAGTAAAAGATTAAGAGTATTAGATATAGACAGTGTTTTAGATCTTTATAATTATAATCAAGAGAAACTAGTTACAGAATTTGGACAACAAACAGCTAAATTTCTCAAAAATATATCAGCTGGTATTGACCATACACCTGTTGTTAGATATGGTCCTCCACAGGTCTGGGCTTTGACAATTTTTTAAACCTTAAATTCCACTTTAACTTTTATTACCTTGTGATACAGATTGTTAGAGAACTGTATTCCTAAAATTTCCAGAGGAAATTATTATGGACTTTGCCAGTATGGAATCTGGATCCCAAGTTTGCAGCCCAAGTTATTTAGTTAGGATAGGTCTTCATTGTCCATATCATCTGGTAATTGATGTGCCAGTCTCTAAATATAGTTCTGTAATTTTTTGCAGTCTATATCTGATGAAGATTCTTACCGAGATTTAAATAATATCAAAGATATAGAGAAAGAGATTGATGTATTAGTGGATAATGTTTTAAAAAGGTAGGAAGGAAACTTTCAAATTTTTTATAAGTTACAGTTTTTGGAAATATAGAGCTAAACATATCCAAACATAGTACTTCACAGAAGGAAAATCCAACACTTTAGTCATCTACAA